TGTCGACTTTGTCGAGCGGAGCTTATCATATGAGTCAACTTTTTACTTTTTCAACTTCTTCTTGAAAACTACAAGTCTGAATGCTTTGATACTTGATGTATATATGTACCTTGGGTAGACCTCTTTCAGATTTGTTCATTTTGTGATGATAATCTTTAATTCTCTAATTTTGGTGAATATTTTTGTAATTTTGAGTAAAAAGTGATATTTTTGACTTCTTGTTAAACCCAAAAAGTTCAATTGCTTTGATATTACATATATAAGTACTACATGTGGATCTCTCTCAGATTTGCTCATTTCATGATGATATCTTCAATTCACTAATTTTGATGAATATTTTTGTCATTTTTGGTAAAAAGTGATATTTTCGAATTCTTGTTGAAAACAGTAAGTCCGATTGCTTTAATACTATACATATGTTAATTTTAATGATATCTTAATCTTCATTTCTTTCATCAGGGATTGAAATAGAATTTTTTCCCTGCATGCACAGTGTGCATGTTAAATTTGAAATTTACCTGCACCAACTTGTTGTGAAATGCACCACTTTTAAAGTTTAAATAAAATTGACGGGTTCTCGATTGATGCGATCACGAAAGAATTTGCTTTTTTTAGTTGTCTTACAATGTTGGTTGAACTTAATTTAGGCTTAGTGAATATAATGAGAAATTGTTGTGTTAATTTCTACATGCACAGTATGCACATTAAATTTTGAGTTTACTTGCACTAGCTAATAATCTATGTGCATAGTGCAGTGTGCACCAGAGTATTTCGATCCCTGTTCATTGAAATGCGCGTTGCTAACAGCAGAGTTATCTTGTTTTTATTTACAAAAGAGATTCCACAGTATTTTACAATGTTTGTCATTACATTGAATATTTTTTTTCATTTCCAACTAATGTGTAAACTTCCTTATGCATCTTCGCCAGCCAAGGTTTGTTTATTCAGTCATCGCTTCAAACACTGATGTGTTCCAAATAAAATTTATTTTATTCTTGTCCAAATCAGCTCAATTACTTTAATAAAGAGTTATTGTACAACAAGTCATTGTCAATGACACGTCCCCCGTTCCGTTCATATTTGAGTGAAATATACATATGTACAACACATTGTACTAAATCTGAACAAAATCCATCTATGCATGACTGAGATCCGGTTCCGGAATTGTGAAAATACGTGATTTTGATGCATTTTCGGCCTTAAATGGCCGCCATTTGGTTATCGTTAATGAGATCATGAAACAAATGCACATACATATTTGTGACATGATGTACCTTGTGTGTGTGAAGTTTGAACTCGATCAATCCAGGCATGTCCCAGATACATATCCAGAACTGAATTCTTTAAAACAAAATGGCCGCCAGTCGGCCATTTCAAACCCGATCCCCCCAAAAAATGACGTGCATCAAGGTCCTATTATGTTTAATGTATGTACCAAATTTGAACAAAATCCGTCCATGCATAACTGAGATCCGGGTCCGGAATGGTGAAAATGTTGTTTTTAGTCTGCAGCATTTGCATTTCGAATATATTTAATTTTTAAATTCAAAGTCTTCTAAATTGTGAAACATAATGTCTTAATTCCAAAA